TTAGTAGCAACCTGCACCATCTGGCATCTTTCGCTGTCTAACAAGAACCCCAAAATGCTCAAAGTAGTGCTCAGTAACAGTTCTCTTTTAAAATAAAGGCTGTAGAGTGTTTTGCCTCCTGCCAAGTGAATGTCAGTGGATCTTACTTTGTCCACTAGATGGCAGTAAATAGAAAATGCAGATCACTTTAAACATAAATGCTAAATGTACTCTGCATAGGCTAAAAAGAATCAGATTTAAGTCCACCTCTGAAAGGACCCAATAAATCTTTGCAAGATGTGAACTTGTGAGAAATATCTGATCATGTGTCAATATTAAAAATACAATTTGTATTGTCGTCACTCGATAAAAAGCATAAAACAATGATTTTCTCTTGCATTTCTGGTAGATCTCTCCAAACTGCAGTTCCATGAATAAATAAAAATATTTTTTGTATTTCGCCCCTATCACTGTGACAATTGCAAGAGTTTGCACAATTAATGCAAGTAAAACCCAAAGTAATATTAGAAAGTTACTTGTTAAATTCTCTCAGTATGCGATTGTGTTAACATTGAATGCAAAAAAAAAACAACAACATCAACAAAATACTCTTCATAACAGAAAGTTGGCACAGATAGCTTTTATATAACCTTTCCTTTATATGAATGCATCCTTCTAGAGAAACCAGTAACATTTCTTAATTCAACAAGTGCAGAATAATATGCCTTCAGAGCTGGTCTTGATTCTTTCTTGTGGCCACCCTTCTTTTCAGAGAAAACTAATTTAATTTACATGTTAAAACATTTGGGCTTTGATTCTAACAGTAAAAGATAGCGTGCATTTCTATGTAACTTGCACATGCTTCACCGCAAATTAATGTAACCAAGCAAGCATCCCTAATGACTGCCCAAAGCCCTGTTTGATATGTAGAGACTTGTTCCTGGCTGTTTAAAAAAATTAAAATTATAGAAAGAAAGTTCTATAAAACAATTCATGCATTAATGATAAATGTATCACTTGCTTGAACTCTTTAATTATGATATGCGTGCAACTTTTAGATTGCCTTTAAACAAAGGCATCTGCAACCCATTATGTTATTAGTTTTCACTGCGTTTAATACATAACTATCCAGGTAGATGACAGATGGCTTTCAGTTTAGTTTTTGCATGTAACTTAATGAAGCATGGTGCTGGTCGTGTCATGCTGTGGGAATTCTTGTCTTGAACAGGGAAGCTAGTCAGAATTGAAGGGGAATGGATTGGCTCATGTATTGTTAAATAATAAAAAATCCTGATTGTTATAAATGAAAAAATTTGGAATAATTAAAGTTATTTTTTGTATATATATATGCAAGACAAAAACAAACAGTGCACATGAGAGAATAGATTTTCTCTTGCTCTCCTCCACAGGTTGGTGCAGCATCAGTTTCATGGAGAACAATGGCCCGCATTTCTTTGGATTGTCCAGCCTCCTTGCCAGGAATACCTCTCAGTGTGCTGTCGGTGCCCATGGAGAATAAATACAAATGTCAGCAGTGTCTCCAGGTCCTGAGGAAACCTGTCCAGGCTCAATGTGGCCACCGTTTCTGTGTGCACTGCTTCAAACTGCTCACCAGGTACACCACCCTCTCTGTGCCAGCTTAATGCCTCCTCCCTCTTTTTGTGGATCTCCATCAGCGCATCGTCTGCTTTTTTTTCCTGCTCTAGTCTTGATTTTCTTTTTCTTTTTTTTTTGCGCCTGAGATCATTTTCTTAATGCAGACTCATTCCTCGCATGGTTGGACTCGGGTGATTCACAAGGATCCAGTCATTAATCTTTGCTGAGTCAGTGTGCTTTTTTTTTTTTGTCTGCTTCTTCGGTGGATCAACCATAAACCAGTTATCTGTGGATATAATAGTGTTTTTTTTTATAACATTCACACACATTGCTTTATGTTTACAGATAAATCAGGTTCATCACTAAACATAAAGTACTGAGATGAAAATGAACCAACTTAGCAACACATTGCAGTTTTACTAAAATCAAGGTTTTTTTATGGGAGCAATCGTGGAAAGTTTGAAATGCTCAAACTGTTCTGGTGAAATTCCAGTTTTGCAATGCTTATGTTGTCAGAGCTGAGCTGTCTGGAATCCAGTCACATGATATCTCCTTATGTGCTGACAAGGAGCTAGTTCAACTAGCTCCATTTATCTCTGTGGGATTTTTTTGTTTATTTTTAAAACCAGATAAATTGAATTAATTCAGTGTTCTGCTCCAAATCTGTTGCTAAATCCCTTCTATTTTGCTTCTGCTCCATTTGTTAATGGTTTATCTGCTTGAGCTGTGATCCATGTTAGTCAGTAGATGATGGTAGAGCAGGTTATTGTTGCTATTTAATCAGGAAAATCTTTTTTTTTAGCGCTGGTCCAAAGCCTTGTGAAGCCTGTCGCCAAGAGGAGATCTATGAGGAGCCTATGTCCATCCTGAACAGTAGTGAGGTGAGTTTTCAGACAGCAGTTAGAATCACACATCGTAATAGATTTTACTAATAGCTACACAGGTAGCTCAAACTTGTGAAGTGGCCACTAAATAAACAGATTTTTTAAAAAAATACCATCTTAAAATTGTGTAGTGTGTTTTTATTCAGCCCCTTTTCTACTCTGAAACCCCTAAAGCCCAGTGCAACTGGACAAGCTCCCCTAAGCAGGGAAGAGAGTCCAACCAGATCTAAAAAGTGGAAAATGTTGCAAAAGAAATGGGCCCCTATTTAAAATGGGGCGAACCAGAGAGAGAGGAGCAGCCAAGAGGCCAGAGAGCTGCAGGGCTCTACAGTTCAGGTTCAAAATCTGTCTGTTGGCAAGGAAGTCAAACTTAGCCGTTATACAGGAGTGGCAGGAAGATCAATGAGCATCAGATTTTCCATCTAAATGTTTTCTGACAATATGAAACCAGAACTGGAGTTATATGCTAAACTTGTTACCCTGAAAACTCCATGTTGATACACAATAGGGGCAGCATTATGCTCTGGGAATGTTTTCTTTCAGCTAGAATAGGAAGGTGGGAGTTAATAGAAATGCAGTGTGATCCTGGAGGAAACGCTGTTAGACAGGAGGGCAAAGGTTCATGTGAATTAGAGTCCCTGCAATGACTGAGTTCATGTTCCCAGCACTCTTTTTCCTGAGTGTGCTTAAGCTGTTTTACAAGAAAGCTTTGGTGAAATTGGCTGCAGATATAAAGAGTGGATAGAAATACCCTAAAAGAAAGATAATAAAAAATTTGCTTATCAGATATGTGTCCTTTTACTTCCACTTCACAGTTCTGCACCATTTTTATGTTTTACTCTCCCATAAAACATCAATAACGTACCTTGTAGTTTGCCTTTGTCGTGTGACTGAATGTGAATGCTTTGCATTACTTTGTATGTTACTCATTTAAAGCAAAGGTGAATGTCTGACCACAGCCTGGAGGGGGTTTCCATAGTTGCACAAAGAAGCCCACTCTGTGTTCTAAGTACAATCACCGTCTTTATGCGTCCGCTGAACACTGTGTTCTTGCCCCCCACCTTGTCCACCAGGCATTTCCAGACAATGCAGCCGGTAGAGAAATAGCAAGTTTGCCTGCCAGGTGTCTAAACCAGGGCTGCAGCTGGACGGGATCGATAAAAGATTATGAGGTGAGATGATCATTTGAGCTGCTCTGTTTTCTCTATGGGCTCATGTCGGGCCTCATTAAGGTGTCAGGTTACCCCTGAGGTTAACTAGTAGTCCTTTTACATATCAGTGTGACCTGACCTAACTATCCTAAGGCTTTGTTTTCCTGAACAAGCTCTGCTGCTTTCTTTGCAGCAGCTGCAGTAGGAGAAACAGGAAGTGAAACTGAACATGTGGGCTGGAAAGTCCCTGCGCTTTTTGATATTCACAAACAGCTCAGTGGAAAGTACCAGAAGAAAAGGCGATGTAAGCTTTGGGCGGTGTGGATTAACTGGCCGCGGATCTCCCCTGATAATGAAGCCACCAACTATCTAAGCTGTAATTTATGTGGAAGAGTCAGATTAGAGGTTGTGGAAGGAAAGCAGTTAGAAAAGCCCCAATATTTGATGCTACTCTAAGTCCTCCTCTGACTGTATTTAGTTTGTGCTGTAAATATGTCTGCTTGGAGGTAGTTGGTGGGTGTTGCTTTGTGAAGGACGTCCTACATGAACGTCATTTTCTGTTTAAGGGGAGTTTACTAGCTGCTGCGGTCACACTTAGCTGTAATTCCTGACAGTTTGGGAAGATGCACCACTCTGATATTTCATTCAATGGTTCGATGGTGCAGGCCGTCCCGTATTTGCATGCTGTGCATGTTCCTATCTCAAAAAGCATGTGCTGATTTAAATGTGCCGTTGGTTATTTATTATTATCACCTAATTGGCTGGGTGAAACACCCACACAAGTATGATTAATTCTGAGCCACTCCCGAAGGAGTCCCCGGCTTGGAAAAAACATGGTTTCCCAGCAGCTTTCTGTACACGCCCAGCCGAGAGGGCGCTTCTTGCACTAGAAAAACCAGCTAGTTTTGGCTAACACATTTCGAACCCGAAGCCACTAAAAAGATGACTCATTTTCACTTTTGCCTTGGATCTGTCCTTTGCAAAACGGGTGATTCAAATGGAAAAAACGTTCAAACATACCTGATGGTTTCGCTCGGTAGATCGCACGTTGTGATCCCAGTCATTCAGGGAGAAAAAAAAATGGCGGCTCCCCGTGGCACCGCCTCCAAAATAAGCCCTGCCCCTTCCTGTTTCGTCATTTTTATTCCTAGTAGAGCCGCTAAAACGTTTTTTATTTTTAAATAAATTTCCTCTTTTTGAATTTTGCACACTTCGGCATGTTCTTGTAAACGATGTATCATAACTCCTGCTTTTTTTTTTTACAACCGTTTTTTTAAATACAGTTTGAAATACTTTGTTTCTAGTTTTGGCATATAATAAAAGTCATTCATTTTTGACTCCTTTACAAAAAAACCTTTAAGATTTAAAATAAAAATAACATAATCATTCCATGATCTCTTTTTTTTTTAGTTTGTGACATTTCCCCTTTGTTGTGTTTTTTTTTTTTACTTCTTTGCAAAAGGCTGCAGTAACAACAAAACAAAAAGCAATGGTTTGTTTGGTTTTTGTAATGCCAACACACCCTGTGCCACTCCTGCTCTTCCCAGAAAGGTTATTATATGTTCAGACATCTTTATAAGAGTGTTTGTTTGTTCTAATGTGATGCGGTTTAACCATCCTTATAAAATGGCACAACCAGACAGCTTGTGCAAACCTCATGATCTTAAATATTATGAAACAAATAGCTGATGGGTTTGACTTGTGTGAAAACAGCAAAAAATTATTGAGTACAGAATCAAGTTATTGTTGTCTACATCTTCAGGCTCAACACGAAGGTCGCTGTGAATATGAGAGGGTGCAGTGCGAAGCCTGCCAGGCCTCCATCCTCCTCAAGGACAAGGAGAGACACAATGAGAGGGAATGCGAGGAAAGAACTCTGAACTGCAAATACTGCAAAGTAACATTCAATTTTAAAGACATTAAGGTGAGAAATGCATGCAATTATGTATAATAAAGCAGTTTTCTTGTACTGCTTTGCAAAGATAAGATTTTGTTCTATGGAAACAATTTCAGGCCCATGATGAAATCTGTGTCAAGTTTCCGTTACAATGCAAAGACTGCGGAAAGAAGAAGATCCCAAGGGAAAAGGTTAGAGCTGTTCTGGTTTTATCTATTTCTGTAGATTCAGTTTTTTATTTATATTTGGTGCAAAAACAATTTAGCTCATACCCATGGAAAGCCATTTAAATAATTCTTCAATGGCGCCACATTTGTGAAGGAAAGGCATTTCTGGGTTTGAACAATTTTCCAGTTTATCCCTGCTAGAGTCACACAGCATTTAGTGGCAATAGAGGGAAGATAATGATCTCCCTCATGTATAATACTGACCTCAACCCCTATAAACACTTTAGGAGCAGGATGCTGTTTATGCCATGCTAACCAACCACTCTGGCTGACAGCTAATGCTGGTTGAGGAAGGAGCTGTTATTCCATGGCTGTTGTCCATTAAACAAACACCAAAAAATGCATTTCTTCCATAACAGAGACATTTCAGGGAAATAAACAATGTTAAGAGTTACTGAGAGAACAGGTATTGTTACAACAAAGGTCATACTTTTGGATTGCATATTTAAAAAGGTTGGAAAAAAACAGTTTTCTGTGTTTTTTATTGATATATAGTTTTGGTCGGAGGATTACATAAACTCATAATAGTCATCAGTGCCTTGTCAGTTTTATTTCCATTTGATTCACTGTTTTGCCATGGTGTGGTGATAATTCAAGAAAGATATTAACTGAGGGCACAAGTTGGAATTTGTTTATTTTTTCAATATCAGTAAAAAGGTAATATAGGCTGATATCTCTGAACCAATTTATTAATATTTGGTGAAAGGCTTCTTGAAAATCTAATCTCCAATTCTGTCCTTCCAAATAAAATTAATCAATTTACTATTTTTTTTAATGAAAAATGATAAAAGAAAAAAATCAATAAAATATATTTCTTAAAAAACAGCTTTTATTTCAGTCAGCCCCTTTGGGAGACATGATTGTTTTACAATAAAACAATCATGTCTCCCGATCAACAATGAAAATAAAACACACCAAATGTTTGTGTGAAGATGAACTGATGCCACTCAGAACTATGAAAGCCCAACGAGTGGAGGAATTTGAAAAAAATCCAAATTCTCCAAAAAGGAAATAATCAACAGAAAATCTAATAAGCTGATTAAATCAATTAAAGGAAAAGTCCGGTCAGCAAGGAATGATCAATGAATCATTATTTATACCTAAAAGTGATGTCACGAAGCCGAGCGCCATTCTCCCCGCTTTACAAGCTAAATCAATGGGAACTATTATACCCACCTGCAATCAACAACAGTTAATTAATTTTTGAGGGGACCTCACCTTTTTAAAATTCATGAGAGCTATAGTTAAACTGACAATCCCACTTGCATGGCAGTTGGATGTTGTAATACATCAGGTAAAAGTGAAAGAAAAATTTGTTATTTCACCTTTCTTATTCATGATCCACCACCGACGTGTTCGTCTTTGGATTGCCAACTTGAAGAGGGAGGATTTGCCATCGAATTTCTGGGCAGAGAAAAAACGCGTAATATGTAGCCAAAATTTTGAAGAAGAATGTTTTCAATATAATTTGGATAATAGCGCCTTGTAACAAAAAAACAGATACAGCACTTGGCCTTGTTTAACAGTAGTTTTCTTTGACGAACATGGATGTCTCCGGTAAAGCACATTCAAATGAAATTACTCCTTATTAAAAACACTTTGCCTTTATTGAACAGTATGTAATGATTTCATATTTAAAGTAATTTCAGAAGTTTGAAATCTGAATATGAACAGACTTTTCCTTTAATCACCTAGCCCTCTCACCAAACATTTTTTTATATTGGTTTATCTCTGTTTAATCCAAAAGCTTATTAATAGCCATAGTATTTATACCTAAACCCATTTTACTGTTTGTTTGGGATCAGTGTTGGAAGTTTAAACATTCTAGCTGTTGATTTTAAGTAAAGTTGAATCGCAACGACACCACTGGCAGGTAACCTTCCCCACAGAATGATTCTACCACAGCCGTGCATAGCCACTGATAACACTGATAAGCCAAATGATATCTACTTTTTTTATCTCTAAAATTAGAAATATGCGATTAATTATGAGTTCAAATATCTGAAAGGAACTACCTATAGCTACGAATTTTAATACAGAGAAATATTCAACAGTATTTGCAAGTTAAACAGAATAAATTATAGTGAATCCATTGATCTCAAACAGAAAATCCCTCCAGTTTCCTTTTGACTCTACATCACATAGTTTTGCTTTTATTCTTGTTCCTAAGTAAGGTCTCTCTAACTCTTCACTTTCTGTTTTTGCCTGCTATCCCCTCAGTTCAATGACCACATGAAGTCCTGCGCCAAGTCAAAGAGTGCTTGTCCATTCAGCGAAGTGGGCTGTAAAACTGTGGTATGTGCAAAAAGAAAAATCTCATTATGTCTAAGACTGACATCAAATATGCTCTCAGCTTTGCTCAACTTAAAACTTGTGAAAAGGGCATCAAGTTTCAGAATAAAACATCACTTCACCTTCTGTTTTGCACCATATAATTCCCAGTATAAATCGTATAGCTTGTTAGGTTATGGCTGGTTATTACTGATTAATAAATAGCTATAGTAATTAAAAGGGTATTTTCTGTTATTAACTAGAGTTCATTCACGTTCACTCAGTCATAAGCAGACAGATAAGATGTTTCAGATTCTGTTCATACTTGGCAGTCAGACGGGACTTTTTGTCACATCTCATGAGAACTGTTTCTTTTTTTTTTTCTTCTTTTTTTTTGTTGGTGTTTTCATATCGATGTCTTAAGTTAATTGATTTGCATTTGCATTTAAAAGTCTCCTAGTTAGTCTCCCATCTGAATGTCTCCTGTATATGCTGAAATAAACCTTGATCTCTTGTTTTACTCAGGTGGAGAACGGGAAGCTCAGCGACCATGAGCACAGTAGCACCATGGAGCACCTGCGTCTGCTGCTTCCGATGGTGCTGTCCATGACGCGGACACAAACAGATGCCCTTGGATCCGGGGAATGGCAGGAGGACTCAGGGTTGGGTCTGTACAGAGCTCCTGAAGAGGGGAGCGGAGCTGCAGCTGCACCGCCTGCAGACCTGGAAAAAAAAGTGAGCCTTTTGTATAAACATTATGACTTTTACTAATGGAGACAAACACGGACCAAAAGGCATTTTTCTCATGCCTTAAGGCATTAAACAGTTTTTTTTTGTAGATCTCAACATGATAAGATATTAAATAAAAATCAGTTATTGACATGAGTCCTATAATCACATATTGCTGTTTTCCACCAGGTAATTGCTTTAGAAAACATTGTGTGTGTCCTGAATCGGGAAGTGGAGCGAAGTTCCCTAACCCTGGAGGCCTTCGCCCACCAACATCGGTTAGACCAGGAGAAGATTGAAAATCTGTCAAACAGAGTGCGACAGCTGGAGCGGACGGTGACCATGAGAGACCTGCAGCTGTCTGAGACTGATCAGGTGGTGCGGGAGCTGCAGCACTGCACCTACGACGGGATTTTTGTCTGGAAAATCACTGACTTCTCCCGGCGCAGACAGGATGCGGTGGCCGGCCGAACGCCTGCAATGTTCTCACCCGGTAAGAAAAGAGACGTGATTGCATTCATGTGTTTTTGATGCTTTCGTGACTGTAATACAGATCATGTGGTTGGTGTGATGTTACTCGTTGGCTCCCACATGAGGGAGATTCCACTTCAGTGTGATCATGTTGTTTTTAAGGGAGGTTCCCTGTCAGGGTCTGACAACATTTCAGGGTTTTGTTTTTATTATGAATTCTTTCCTTGCTCTTTTGCAGCATTTTACTCCAGCAAATATGGCTACAAAATGTGTCTGAGGCTTTATTTGAACGGCGATGGGACAGGACGAGGGACGCACCTCTCCCTGTTCTTCGTGGTCATGAAGGGCAAGTGCGACGCTCTGCTGAAGTGGCCCTTCAGTCAGAAGGTACTACAGTTCAAGAATCATTAACCAGAACCCTGCAGGTTTTCTGTGAAAACAGAAGCTTATTTAGTCCTTCTTCCTTCTCCCTACCCAGGTGACTCTTATGCTCCTGGATCAGAACAACAGGGAGCACATAATCGACGCCTTCCGACCCGACATTACGTCCACCTCCTTCCAGCGGCCGATCAGCGAGATGAACATCGCCAGTGGCTGCCCGCTCTTCTGCCCGCTGTCAAAGCTGGCAGGCAAGAGTCCATATCTGAGAGATGATACGATATTTATCAAAGCCATCGTAGACCTCACAGGCTTATAATGTGCACTGTGGAAGCTGCACTGAAATCCTTACGCATAAGACTATAATATATAAAAGTTTTTTACCTATATGCCCATTTATGGGTAATATTAATATGGTTAATAAACTGTAAAATAATTAAAAAATACCGTATTATTATTATTATTATTATATGATTCTTATATCTTAGTATTACTAAGCAATATTATAAAATATCTTTATATTCATTATAAAACTACAGCTATAATAGTTTGGATTTTTTGTTTAGTATTTTTTTTTATTTTCTATATTTTTCAAGATGATATATTCCTTTTTAATAATTTATTACAGGTAGAACTCCTCTCACTGACTCCATAACAGGAAAGTAGACAAACCCTTTGGCCATACGCACCAAAATCACCAACCTAACAATGCTTTTTACCTGCTACATGATAAACTGAGCATGCATTATATTTAAGACAGGAACAAATGGCACAGAATTTTTTTTTTTTCTTCGTCATTTAAGATAAAAAGGCCTAGAATGCCCATCGTTTTTGGGTTGAATTGCTGCTGGATGTCTTCTGATATCTCCCTGCAGTTTGAACGTTCTCCCAACGCACCGATAGGGTTTCTCATTTAGAATATTTCTCGTATAACTTTTTTTATTTATTTCAACTTCACAACCACACATAGTATCTAATCTTTTTTTTCCATTTCAAGATCATTTGGTCAAATGATAGAAAAAGTCATGGTGCACGTAATGCGTAATTGCTGTTTGGGGAGGGGGGCACATAATCTCCTTCCCCTACTTTGATCACCTCTAGTCGACTGAACCCTAACAGATGACAAATAAACAAGTAAACAAAACATTTTTTTGTCACATTAAATAGAAAAAATAACAGGAATATATATACTTTAAATGTATTGAACTTTGATCATTTGCTCTTTGAGAGCTTTCAGCTTTTTTTCCCTGCAGAATATGTTTGTTCAGAATACCTCAGAATGTTATCCATATATTTAGATGTTCAACATGATCTTTTTTTGTTCTTTTGTTTAAATTGGGAAGACATTTTCTGTATGCAGAGATGTTTGTTCCACCCATGTACAACATTCACTAACAACTGTGATTCAAAGTTATGATTATTTCTTTAAACTCAGTTTAAAGAAGTCTAATTCTTACCAAGCTATCCAAATTTGTATCTTTTATTTCTTTTTTTTTATTTCAGGTTCATTACATCTTTGCCACTTAAAATCTCCTTGTACCAAAGATTTCAATGTATGTGAAATTTAAAACATAAACATTCATAGACTTGTATTATTAAATTAAAAAACATATGATAGCTCTGCATACTAAATACTTAATCATCGAGACATCATAACAAATATATAAACCTATATTTATATATAAAGAACATTATTGCTGAAAGTAAATATGGGCAACTGATTTAGTCATAGTTACATTTGTTGGGGGCTCTATTGAGTATCACTGTGGTTTAATGTATAACTTTACTGAATATGTAAAGCTGTTTTAAAAAGCTGAATATAATTATTTGATTAAGTGAAAATATAAAGTCATTTTAGCTTTTGATTCTGTATTAATACCAGGGATTTTATTTCACAATGCTGCTTTAATTAAAAAAAAGACTATTTAAACCACCATGTTCTCATATGGAGTGTTGAATAAATGGCTTTATGACACACAGACCAACATTTACTTATAGAGTAGTTTCCATTTTAAATCTGCTTTTTTTTTACTGTGCATTGATCAATAAATGATGCTTTGAGGCTATTAAAGTCATAATGAAACTATAGCATCATGTTGATACTGCAGAGTCAGAACAAGAAGTCTGGCTCAACAAACAGAAGCTGATAAAAATCATCCTGAAAGCAACTTTGGTCACAGTTCACTCATCATCTGAGTTTTTAGGGTTAACCTAACCGCCTTTTCAGGTAATTCCTCCTCTGCAAAGCTGCTCATGTTTCACGGATATTGTGGTTAAAAGCCGTCGTTGTAGATGTGGAACGTGATGTACACTTTGTTTTTTTTTTTTTGGATATCTGCACGCTGCACTACATGCACGTTGGGAAAGTCCTGCTTGTGTTTACCGCAATCACAGCAATTTAAACATCAGGCGTTTTATTTGAAAGTCTTCTACGTCAGTAAGGACAAAAAAGGTTTACCTGAAAAAAAAAACAAAAAAAATACAGATTAACACCAGGAGTTCTGCTCCAGACTAGAAAACAAATTTTCACCCAAAGGGCTATTTATTTATTAGCACCATTTAATCAAAACAGCATTTAAAAGTCACCCAACATCAAGAAAAGTTTGTAGAAATTCATATATATTTGTTTAAGAGGTTAGGTAAATTACAACTATAGTCACATATCCAAGAGCAGCTTCCCATTAGTTATTAATTGAGTTTTCACCTGTTTAGATCCTTTGTTTAATGTAAATGCTAAATCGTTCAAATTATTGAATGTTTTATAGTGTTGAGGGGGCCAAAGTTGTTGCCATTTTAAAAGTAAGTGTAACCTTTAAATCTTGGTAACATTTTATTAAAAGTGTAGAAGTGGACTTTTTTTTTTAATTGTTTTGTGGATCTGTTACAAAATTAGTTAAATCTCATATTTGCAAAATTGTGTGATTTGCTCTAAGAGCAAAAATGCTGCCCTCATGGAGAGGAAGCTAGAAAATTTATTAAATCTTGCTTGAGAATTAACCTACAAATTGAACAGTTCTAAAAAAATATAATTTTTTTTTCATATAAAACTGTATTAACTGCATCTATACTGTATATCTGTTGGAAATCGGCTTTGAACCAGTAGAAAACGTGATCATCTGTTTGGATTTGTGTGATAAAAAGTTTTATATCAAATCGATTCAGCGTGTGCTTTAAGTGTAAATGCCATTTGACAAGAAATCTTTGAAAGAGTCAAAACCTTGACATATTGTACTGATTGTTATGCATGGATGTGGCTTCATAATGCTCAGGATCTGATCCAGTGTCAGTTGTACTCGCACTTTGCTCGAAGTGGGTTGAGGAATAAAGATAATGAACTGGCATCAAAGCAGGCTACCTTTAGGTTTCTAGAATGGGGCTCATCTCATCAACATTAAGCAGTTTGTCAAGAACTCTGGTCTTTCTGATTCAGGGGTCATATCAATGCAGAAATACACCAGGTACTTGATGATTTTAGAACTTGTTTTTTTTCTCACACTTGCTAAATGAGTTTAATCTAAAGCTAATCAGTTTAGGTAGAACTTGGAACATATAATTTCATTGGTCTCCTTTTAAATGATCAAACTCAGTCGACCCTAATCCAATCTCTGGATGCAAAACCTTAATGACACACTACGAAGTAGGCATGGATGTGTTCCTCGTTGCATACATTCATTTTTTCCCTTTGATGATTAATTGCTTGCTAATTGGCAGGAATGCATCATTGAGGTTTGCCCTAGGCCAGAGGGGAATCCCTGCTCATTAATGCAAAAAAGACAAAAACTTTCAATAAGCAAATCTCTAAGCAAAGAGATGCTAAATAGTGCATTTATATGACAAGCATATCTTATACATCTTGAACAATTCCATATAAGCTGTTCTATATGAGCAGCACAGGAGGCGTCTCACACAATCTGAGCAACCGAGGATTTTTGCAGCAACAATACTCTGAGGTATTAATAAAGCAGAACACCAACTCTCCTATGGGTCCGTTTGATTGATTTATTGCACGTTTAACAAATTCAGATGAAAAAAAAATTATTTTTTCAATTATTCTAGATCAATCGGCAACTCTAAATTGGTTTAGCCTAAAGTCAGGAACTCTGAGAGTTCGGTTTCACAGCGACTGCTTCAATCAATTTTAACTAAGTCCACTCAGAGTTAGGCACGTGCGCAACAAGTATGAAAAGCCATTATCAGTGGAGCACTGATATGACCAGTCACCATGACAACATGCAACAGGAAGTGCCAATTTCACCCTACCGGAACTACAGAAATGCCAAAATATA